CTCACAAAACCCTTCTCCATTTAGCCTCTATTCATTTCTGCACCATCATCGCATGCTAGATTTTTCCCAGTTCATCATGGGATGCAGTACTTCATTAGCTTCCCTGAGAGGGTGCAGTACTTCGTTCCCTTGATCTCAGGGTTCTCACACAGGCCCTTCTCTTTTCCAAGAACTGTCCTTAATCCATATTCTTCAGCCATGTTCCAATTTTTCAGATCCCATCTTAAATGCAACCTATGTCAAAGGAATTTAATATTTATTCTGTCACCCACTCATTGTTCCCTGTGTTCATTTTTAATAGTGCTTGTCACAACTTGTCAATATGGATTTACTTTTTGTCAGTAAAAATGTCCCTCATCTGACAGTAAATTAACAAAAAAAGTAGAGCCCAAATTTGTTTACCAAGTTTAACTTACACCTAGCTCTAATGCATTGCCTGGAACTACTGTAGGTGCTCATTAATTATTTTGAAAGTTTTTTTCCAAGAACATTATTTTCCCTAAGTCAAGTTTAGAATTTTATTTTGTTTTTATGATTACAACCAAGCAGTCTCACCTAGCTTACTTCTGTAACTCTGCTTTTGTGAAAAGAAGGCAGTATTTTCTAGTCTTTTATAAACTCAGATTTACATGTTTTTGCATACTATCAACATAGAGTTCACATTCCAAATTTAACTTCATTGTAAAAAGAACCAAACTTGAGTTTTCAAAATCTTATCTAGTTCCAAATATCACAAAATTTGTAAGTGGCTCTTTTTTTTTTTTTTTTTTTTTTGGCTGCTTGGTTTGAATCATCGATCTGGATAATAAAGAGATTTAAAAAGATATTCTAAGAGCTATGTACTTTAAAAAGTGCTTAATGTTAAAATTTAGGTAATTGCTTTATTTAAAAGTCCAACAATTATTATAGGGAAATATTTACTTGTTATTTAGCTATATTTTTATTACTTATTAAGTAGCTCATTCTGATTTCTATACAAGGACAAGTCTACCACTTTCATAGCAAGATTTTTGCCCATTTTAATGAATAATCATATATTAGTCAAAGACTATGTGATGTATTAATGATCACATGGTAACACATACCAAAATCTCAAGCACAATGATCCAAGAGGAATAGTCTTAAAGCAAACCAAGAAGAGTAGTTAATCATAAAATTCTTTTTCTATAATATTTAGGATTCTTATGATTAAGAGCCATAACTTGAAATTAATTTTTTTAAAAAATATATAAATTTTTATTTATCAGGAAAGTTCAGTGGTATATTTTGATTCAGATGACAATAGAAATCTTGCCATCGATGATATTCTCTCCTTATTTCCTGGCACTGTCTTCTTCTAGGTAGGTATCAGTCTCAGGTAGACTCAATGCAGATAAGAAAACCAGCAGAAACACTGCATGTAAATGTATTAGTTTAACCCTAAAGGAAGTAAGAGCCACCTTTCCCAGTAGTTCTAGGAGTCACCCTGAATATACCAACTTGAATAACTTGCCAATTCTTGAACCGAACGGTGTCCACACCTGAGTCTCACTGATACCACTAGAGCTTAGTTTCAGCCCCACCCAAACATGAACTGTGACAGGGATGTGGCTTCCCAAAGGAAAAAGAGGGGCTTTTACTGGAAGCATGGGCCCAGGATGCCCAGGAGGCAAAAACACCGATGGTCAACACACTTATTCATTATCAATTAAGCCACAACTTGTTTCTAGTGAAAATGTATTTATTCATATAAAATCCTATGTGTACACTCCATTATTGTAGTTTATAGTCTTGGGATTATTTTTGTATCAACTATGTCTTACATCCTATGCCTGTGTCATTTTTAAGACTATAATGTGAATGTTTATGTTCCACTTATGTATAATTCAATATTCTTTACATTTTTCATTTTATATAAAGCTATATTTCTCATTTTCTAAGAACCAGGAAAGGGAGATTGAAGAGAAAAGTAAATTGCAGCCAGAAATAAAAAGGGAACAGAAAGGGCAAATCAGATTGTTTTGTTTTATTTTTGAGGGGGGAAGGGTAGGAGATGGCAGGGGACATTTGGAAAATGAGCATGTTGAAATACTGAGGGGAAGAGATTGTGGAAGGGTAAGACTAGACTTCCTGAAAAGAACTGTAATGCATCACGGAAAAGAAATATATTAATATAAACAATAGCTGAGTGTTTCTTACCATTTAGATATCACGACATTTAAATCAACAATTAAAAGCCATAGATTTAATTTTACTCTCATCTGAAATTTGTAAGCAACACTTTGCCTTTTCCCGTGTAAATCAACCCTTCCTCCATGCCTTTCGGGCAGATTTAGGCAGATTTCACCCCCTAAATTAAGAATCAGCTTCATATACCTCCAACTCATAGACGCTGGTCACTGGTAACAGAGTCATTGAGCTGTAATTGAATTAAATTCCCACTATAATTTAGCTGCAAAATAAGTGTCTACAGATCTTCTCAGCATCATATAATATACTTCAGGAGGGGCCACTTACTGCATGGTATCATTGAGGTTTAATAAATGCCTTGAGTTTTAAGGGTCTTGCATGGAAGGCATTATTATTGTTTGGCTATTCAGAGTCAGTGTCTCAGCTTCCTTTCCTAATTTTGTTTTTTTTTTTTTTGAGA